ATTCAAAAGTTACACATCTGCCATATGTTTAAAACTACATCCTTCTGTAATATAAAGGACCTTATTGTATTTAGAAATCACACAAAAAATGTTTTTAATCCCTTTAACACCCATGGATAACTGTATCAATGTTTTGGCATTCATACTTGGAATTTCATGGAAAAATTACAAGTTACACTATAGAAGATTACCATTTTTCTGTGTATTCCTTTGTTTATTTATTTTTAAAAGATTACATTTACTTGTCAGAGAGAGAGAAAGATAGCGAGCACAAACAGGGGGAGCAGCAGGCAGGGGGAGAAGCAGGCTCCCCGCTGAGCAAGGAGTCCAATGTGGGACTCGATCCCTGATGACCTGACCTGAAGGCAGAGGTTTAATGGACTAAACCACCCAGGCGTCCCTATGTGTTCCTTTAAAGATGGGGTTAAAACATTAGGAATGACTTTAAGGCATTTTGCCCATTAATATATGCCATAATTTAACTACTTTATTATCTACTGGGCCACTTAGGTTGCTTCAAAGTTTTAAAAACAAGTTTTAAGAACAATACTGCAAATTGCATACTCTGATAATCTTAATGCACATCTCTGAATCGTAAGATAATTTATGCAAAAATCACTAAAAGGATATAAAATCTTCGTCAATCAACATATATTGCTAAGTCAGCTACATGACACTTGCCAATCTGACAAGATTTGTATCTCTCACTTTTAAAAATACGCATTCTTTGGAAGAGACATAAAACTGTTTTGTATCCTATGCTTATTGGTTACTTTTCCATTTTTATTCAAAACTGCTCCATTCCCCCTCTTCGTAGATGGGATCACTCATCTTTATTTCACCCCCACAGCAATTGCGAGTCTGTGTTTTCTCTGGAAAAAGCATTCTCTTAATAGACGAGCACCTGCTGGAAGCCATCTGGGGAAGGATGGCATACGGCAGTCTCTGGAGCAGCTTCTCTGCATGAAACAAAATCTTCACTGATGGGGGATGACTGGGAGTTCTGAGAGAGTATTATTTCTGAAGTCCTTATGCACACCTTCACAACTCTGAAGCTTTTTTCTAAAACTATATTCTCAACACACCAAACAAAATCTTTCTTGTAAAGGCCTATCTCCTTCCGTACACTCTCTTCCCCGACTAAGGTACTAACTCACACCTCTCCTAAAAAGCAATGAAATGTTGTCACTAAAGCCCATGCAGTATTTTATTTATGTGGGTCTTCTCTCCTAACTAGTGAGAGCCTTCTGTGACCTTCCTAATTATTAGAAGACTGCCATCTATCCCGAGTGTCTAATACATTGGTCACTATCAAACATGCAGAGTTCACTTAATTCTAGAATCTCATTTTCTAGAAAAGGACACAACCGTCTAGATGAGTATCATTCTCTTGGTCAAGGAAAACCAGGGCCAGAAGCACTCTTTCCCGATCACCAGTCCACGAATCAAGTGCATTCTCCCAACTCTACGTAGCTGGGGATGCCAGCAGCACTAGCATGCTAGGAACCTTTCTGGATGAAAAAGATAAAAATCTGAACTACTTTTTTTTTTTTAAAAGATTTTATGTATTTATTTGTCAGAGAGAGAGAAAGAGGGCAGAAGCAGGCAGAGTGGAGGCATAAAGAGAGGGAAGCAGGCTCCCTGCCAAACAGAGAGCCTGATGCAGGGCTCGATCCCAGGACCCTGAGATCCTGACCCAACCCGAAGGCAGAGGCTTTATCCACTGAGCCACCCAGGTGCCCCGAAAGTCTGCACTTTCAAATAAATCAGAACTTAAAGATTCAGATAGGATTTATTTCAAAGTGGTCTCTCTGGAAAGCCATGCAAATATCTCAATGATGTTACAACTGGTCAGAGGAGCTTTGTAATTTCTCTTTTGAAAGTGCCTTTAGGGCCAGTTCATAAGAAAATCATAATTCTTAAACTTAAGGAAATTTCAGAATCATGTATCATTTTACACCCCAACTGATGTCACTCAGTTTTTCCATTTATCTTATTCTGCGAAATTAAACGAACTTTAGCCATTTCAAAAACTGATATCCAGCTTCAAAGCATCAAGATGACTTCCTAAACATTATCACTAATGATTCTCCAAGAGAATATAACATTCTAGAAGATCAGCTTAAGATGTCAGAAATAATGATGGCATTGAAAACTTCATAACCTCTTTATATTCCTTCTCTTCCCAAAGAGATAGCTTTATTGCCATTTTGAGGGGAAAAAAACCCAAACTTGTATAATGATATAAATTGTTCTTAAAGGGTATTTTTAGTTAGGCAATCGTGTACCTACTGAAAATTCTCTAAAACTTATTTAGAGGATACCCCAAAAGGTGAGCATGTCAAATAACATTGGATATATACTGAAAAATGCCTAGAAAATTGTTTTAAAGTAAATACATCAGAATGTAAATGATAATACCCATTGAGGGACAGAATTATGAGACATTTTTTTCTTTATTTTTGGTCACCTGGACCTGCTTACATTCCTACTAAGACTATGAGGCGTTTAATAAAATAAATAAGTAGCAATCAAACATATATATATACACATATTAACATTCCAAGATCCAAGCAGTAAGGAAGCTTAATCTAAATTTGCACATCTTAATATTTAAGAGCTCAATCTGGCTCAGGAAGAAGGGTATGCCTAGATACTGTAGAGGCAGAATTTAAAAAGAATCTAAGGTTGGGATTATCTAATCTCCTTGCCCTTCTATATAATTCTACAACTACCTATACAACTCAAAAAGGAAACCTTCCCTATTCTAAATGAGCCACTAGCTTTCAAAATGTTTAAAGCAAATTCAACAGTAATTATATTGTTGATGACCTGAAAATAGGTCACCCCCCCAACTGATTATAACTCTCTTATGCAATGTTCCTTTGAAGGAAACAAGCACAGCTTGTACAAATATTTCAACTACTTCTACTTCCCTAAGAGAAGATGGTACACATCTGTAGGTATTTCTAAGTTCTGAAAGCACATACAAAGGCAAAAGAAAAATTATGAAGAAGTTAAATCAGCCTAGTCATTTGTCCCAAGCAATTTCATATTACATCATTAAAAGTACATGGGCATCTGCTGTGTCACTGGTAAATAAATAAACAATGTCTGAAGTTTAGACATGTTTACTTTGAAAGTTATGATGAAATAATTACATTATCTGGAAAAATATGTTAAGATAAGGTTTGAGAAATAACTACATTTCTGCAGGATATATAATTGCTTTTCTGTATAGTTCACTGTTAAACAGTTATATTGATTTCTTTCTGACTAGGAATTTAGGGCTCAAAACTATCAGCATGCCAATTTTTAGTCTTTAAGCAAATGGACATATATGAAATATATCTGAATTTATATGGTTTATACATTCCATTTGTAAAGATTTAAAAATCATACTACTCCAAGTTCAAATGCCTGTACAGAAAGAATGGGTCATCAGGGGACAGGCGACCACAACGTGACAGAAAAGCACCCCCTCTCCCTCCCCAGCCCAACCCAAGCTGAGTAACACCATTCCATCACCCTAGAATGGACTGGGAATGACTGCTGTCCCACCCCTACAGGCATTTAGTCAGATATATTTGGGGATTATCTCAAGCTCCCTTCCTATTTCATCATCTGATAACCCTTCACCTCAGAGACCCTTGCAGCAAGGGGGAAATTTCCAATTCAATCATTCATAAAGTATCTTCTCCATTCCTGAGCTTAGAAAAATCATCCAAGGGACCTTAAAAGGAAATCACCAATTTATTCTTAAAATGAACACTAAGAGTTCCCAGCATAAGAAGGAATTACAGGCACTCTGTATTACTTTTATAGCACAAAGCTTGAAAGCAGTAGGGTAGCTGGATAGTGGAGTTCTCAGAAGCTGCTACATTTTGACTAAGAATTAGTCTACGATGATCCTACCTTTTCCACATTACTTATCTTAGACAGAAATGTGGAGGCCTAGAATCAAAATGTAAAGCTGAGGGTGACTTTGGTCCACCTCCTTAAAAAACCAAACCAAAACAAACAAAACAGAAAGTCTTTTTGTTGGAAGGTGAGTGGGGTGTGTGGTGTCTAAAGTCCAAGAGGCCTGGCATGAGTTCCAAAGATAAGCCCACGGCAGTAGCAAGACATACCAACCCTGGCAATTCTGAACATGAGGTCCAGTGTGACTAAGAATGAATATATTCCAATTTTATTTTTTCTTCTTTCTTAAAATTGGTCAGTATTTTATAGTATTTCAAACTCATCTTTAAGTAAAAATTTTAAAAGCTGACTTCAAAGTTCGCTGAGTTACTACCATTCCACAATCTCAAAACCTTAAAAAAAAAAAGGGGGGGGGTCAACCTTCAATCAGCTGTACCTCTATAGCGTCTGATGCTAACAGACCTACATTGTCACTAAGTGCCTTAATGGGGTTGGGGGGACGGGTTACAGTAGTATCGCCAATTAGGGCAGAGAGAAGATGAAGGAGGAAAAAAAAGTACCTCTTTATACAATCCCACTGAGGCTCCTACTCTACGTATTCTTCGGCTGTTCAGGGGGCTAAAAAGATGAGGAGCAGAGAGAGCAGGAAAGGGGGAGTTCAGTGCTAGGTGCCCACAGCTGCAGTGAACAAAAGCAGAGGCGGCTCTAGAGAGGATTCTTGATGACAGAATTAGAATAAACACTAATATTAATTCCAACCACTGAGCAATTAAAATGAGATTTAAGGTATGTTTATTATTTTACTGCTTAGCCTGAATAGACACTGGGCCTTAAGACGGTTTCATCTGACCCTGACAGAAAAATTTAGTTATAATCATTACAATCAGGCAAAGGTATATTTAATCATCTATCACACTGTGAAGTCCCACAAAAAGTCCCTGATTAACGGAATTTTTCCTTTTTGGGCTTTGGTAAAGTAACCATTTCTGGAATTATCTCTCACAAAATGCCGATTTTTTTTTTTCCTTTTCTCTGTGCTTTCAAAACTCTCTAATGAGAAAAACTGAGTAGTTACATACCTATAGATGGAGATTTGAAAGGGTATTTATCAGGAAGATCCACTCTAACTTTCCATACTCCGCCTTCATATGGTGCTGAAATAAAAGTAAAAATGTTGAAATTAGAACTGTGTCTCCACATTAAAAAATAAACCCAAGTTTAAGTGAAACATTAAATCCTAGCATCTTTTGAAAATCTTATAGATTAATTCCTTTTGAAAATCTTGCAGATTAATTAATTCCACATTAATTAATCAGATGGTATTCTATGTTCAGATTAAAATAACTTTTCTTTAAAAGATGTAGAGTTAGAAAATAAGATTCGTTTCTCTCCTACATTTACCTGATTTTTAAAGTATTAAACACTTAGTTCGTAAGTAACAGCTTCCTATTTCAATCTGCCCTGTTGACCCACCCCCCATCAAAAACAAAAAACAGAAAAGGGGGGGAAAAACATTTCCCCAAAACCATCCATGAAAAAAACAAAAAACAGTATTCACAATTTCTGTTCTAAACTGTCATATAAAGTAATTATGGTAAAAGCAAAATTTCCTGACTGGTTCTAGAGTTTCATTAAATTTACTGTTCAAATACTACACATACCTCCACTGATATTCTCATTACCTACTAAGAAGTAGAGAAAAAGAGAAACGGAAAAAGAACAACACATATATGAACACATGTACTTACTTCCTTGTGGTCCATAAAACTTCACTACAAATTCATTGAGTCCTCCCAGGATCGTAACCTCATGCTTACTCTCAATGCTAAGGTGAAAAGTAAAGGAAAGTACACAGGCTTTGTAGTACCTGGAAGAACTAAAGATGATATCCCCAAGATATGCTATGTAAAAGTGTTACCAACATTTGATTTGAAACTGATAAAATATGAAATATACATAGTCGTTCTGGTCATTTAGAAGGCAATATATACTCTTATGAAAAGAATGCGAATAAACTTCAGATTCAGAGACAGGTGTTCAAATCCCAGGAGAGCCACGTACTGAGTCTGTGGGCCTGCACAACATAATGTAAGCTCACTCCCCAAGCCTTTGCTATCTTTGTCAATCAGGAAAAACCACTTCATAGGATTTCTGTGAGGATCAAATGGGTTAAGTATGTAAAACATGGAAACTGCATTTTGTAGATAATATAAATGAAAAATAGGCACTTAGTTTTAGTTTTTCCTCCCCTCTGTAGTCTCTCCTTGCTAATCTACCCCTAGTGAACCTTTAACATAAACTCCATTATTCCCTTTGGTCAAATTCAAAAACTTAGCAAATTACCAATTCTCCTAAACTCGAAATGCTATGCTCCTGAAGTTATGGATTTACTTAAGCAAAGTCCCCACCCATTTTCCCACTGGCTTAGAGAATAATCAAATAATTGTGATGTCACCTTCCTACGGGTACTATTAAATGCAAAACAGCAGCAAAATCAATCAATAAATCTTATCTCTAGTATTTATTTCACCTACCTTTTCCCTCCCCTTCCAAACCTCTCTCCAGCTTAGGTCGGCCTCTAGCTTCTGGGATGTTCTGGGGCTCCAATCACAGGAGTACTTGTGTGTTCTCTTCCTCAGAAACTTATCTGCCCCTGAGACTCTTAGATGTTTAAAGTACTAAGATTCAACTGTAAAAACCAAACCAACCCGCATCAGTAGAGAAGGTGGCTACTGGTCTAATATTGACCTGTTGTTTTCTATTTCTTCTTTGTGGTCTAAACAAATAATAACTCGGAGATTTTAGGTACTGAACTTTCTTTGGGGGGACCCTCACAATGAAATTAAACAAGAAAACCCCAAACGACCATATATGAAAAAGGGGACCTCGAATGTCACAATGTAACCGAACAAGAAAACCCCAAACAACCCAATAAAGATAAGCTGGCCTCATCGTTCTCCACAGCCGCGCAAATCACATTTTAATTACAAGAACTATTATACCAAAGACAAAGAACCCAAAGAAATTTTAAAATGTTCTCTTACACAGAGAAAAACAGTATTTTTAAAGATATGAAATTACATATTTGGCTCTCCTATCCTCTGTCCTACAGGCCAAAGAACAGAGGGGCTGGGTGTACTTTTGGCAAAGTCCTTCCTCAAAAGTCTTGAACAATCCCCACTAGAGATATTTAACAGGACAATTTAGTCTATACTAATTTGATCTCATTCTTTTCTAAATGAAAACTGTTTTAACAGCATGCACACTGAAAGGACTCAAATAGTATCCGCCCTGGAAAATACACTTCATTTCTCACTTGGTCAAATGACACAAACATGAATGCTTTGGTGTACAAAACTCTTCTTGACCAGTCACCCTCTGACACGGCAAGATATTCCAAAGTATTAATAGGTTAAAATTTGTTTTAAAACAAAAAAGCACCCCGAGTTACAAGTTAAATCTAGTTACAATAAACAAAATTAAATATAAACAATAAAACCCTTGAAGAAAACAGACTTTTTAGAAAATCATCTTGGGGTGAAAAGGCTTCCCTAAGAATAACACCAAAGTCAGAAACCAGAGAGGAAAAGATTCGCAGATACAAGCGCACACGAACATTTAAAACTTTTATACTGTAAACGACAAGATGAAAACTAGGAAGAAAAAATTATAGCATATGACCAAAAAAAGTAGATTACAATATAAAAGGTTATTACAAAGCAGTAAGAAAAATTAAAGGGGCACCTGGGTGGTTCAGTCAGTTAAGTGTCTGACTCCTGATCTCAGCGCAGGTCATGATCTCAGGATTGTGAGATGGAAGCCCACGGGCTCAGAGTCTGGGCATGGAACCTGTTTAAGACTCTCTCTCTCTTGATCTCTCTATTCCCCTTCTCCCTGGTTCTCTTTCTCTCCCTGCTCTGCTCCTCCCCCCGCCCCCTTGGGGGAAGAAAAAGAAGGAAAAGAAAAAAAGAAAAATTACAAACACCTTGACAGAGAAAAGACCACGACAGCCAAGAAAACTGAATGAACAAAATTAAGTTTTAAAAAAGTTCAACTCATTAGTTTAAAAATAAGACATTTTTCACTATGAAAATGAAAGGGCTAAAAAAAAAAAAAAAAGAAGAAGAAATAAAGAAAAAAGAAAGAAAATGAAAGGGCTGATGAAAACCTAGTGTTCAGTGGAGTATAAATTCACATTCCTGAGGATAAATTTAGCACTGTGTTCCAAAACTCAAAATAAATTCTTTTATTCAAATTTCACTTTTATGAAGTTTATTTAAAAAAAAAATAACCAGACACTGCTGGTGGGAGCGTGATACAGTTTCAACCACTTTGGAAAACTGTGGGCGTGGAAAGTACACATACATGTACCCTACGCCCAAGAACACTACTCCCACTAGAGAGCCTTATAGCGATGACCACCAACACAGAGGTTTCAGAATGCTCACAGCACTATTTATAATATCCAAAATTTAGGTTACAACCCAAAGGCTTGTCAATAAAAAGGATAAACTATGGTTGTCACCCAGCAGAATACTGCACAGCAATAAAAAATGAATTGCAAACATCCAAGTGTATGAGTCTCCCAGATATTACAGTGAAAGAAACCAGATACCAAAGAGCACGTGCGATGTGATTCCTTCACTACACATTTCGAACAGGCTAAATGAATCAATGGTGTTAGGAATTAGGATAGTAGTCACCCTAGTGGGGACAGCCATCATTTTGAGTGGTTTGAGGGGGACTTCTCAGGTGCTGATTAAACATTTATTGTTCCACTTATCACTGAGCTACAAAGATTTGTGGACTTTTCATGTATATGCTACTGTTTAACAAAAAGTTCACTAAAAAGACAAAGTGTATCTGAAATGTGCAAATATGTTTACTGGAATATGTGAAATTTAAAAATGGAAATTAAGGGGCGCCTGGGTGGCTCAGTGGGTTAAAGCCTCTGCCTTCGGCTCGGGTCATGATCTCAGGGTCCTGGGATCGAGCCCCGCATCGGGCTCTCTGCTCAGCGGGAAGCCTGCTTCCTCCTCTCTCTGCCTGCCTCTCTGCCTACTTGTGATTTCTCTCTGTCAAATAAATAAAATCTTTAAAAAAAAAAAAAAAAAAAAAAAAAAAAAAAAATGGAAATTAAATATTTATCAAAAGGAACTGATTAAATGGGTCATTAAGCGATTTTATACAACAGGCTGCCACTATATCCACTAGTGTTTACTGGTGCCCTCTCCACACCCAGAGCTCCTCTAATGTATGTTTCTGCTCAACTTGAGATATCCAGAAATAGGCAACTGAATAAAGTAATACAGGTAAAGATAACCCCGTCATTAAACAAAACCAAATAAATTCACAAGGAAAATGAAAAGAACAGAGTAAGGTAGAGGATTCAGAGAGTTTAACAAAAGAAGTCATAAACTAATTCTATAACCTAAAAATCTATAGAAGCAATATTCCTCATTAGTCAGAACCAATCTGCTATGAATAGCATTGGTGGACAGTAATTACTCTTAATTAATCATTTAAAGTTATGAGTTATTCACATGGATGTCTTTTCCAGAAAACTTAAGATATTTCTATCCTTGACATGTATGCAATAAATCTGGGCTTCTTCCATTTTGTGATCTGAGAGTCAGTCCATGCTTTTATCTACTTCCCAAAGAAATTCTCCTTTCCCAACAGTCATGTCAAAATGAGATTAGAAGTAATGCTCCAAACCTCTCCTTTCCCACGATCCCTGGTACAACCCTCCTGTCAGATATACTGGGTCTGTCTTTAATTACACATTATACTGTAAACTGAAGAGTTCTTATAGTCCATTTTGTTTGAAAAACTAAAACTGAATGAAACCTTTAAACTCCTACCAAGTTGGTAAAATGAAGAAGCTGTGCTAAATTTATACTGCCTTAGAATGGTACAGACCACTGAGTCAAATGGAAACAGAATTTTAGCTTAGTTGAAAGAAAACTGCATTAAAAATAAGCCATTTCATCACCACGAATGAATGACTTGCCCACAAAAAATATGGAATTACCTGACTGCTGTTACCCTGTGTATTTATGGGAGAGGCCACGGGTTTCTCCCTCCTCTCCACTGCAAAGTCAAGGGCAAAGAAGGCAAATGAGAAGGCAGGTTACAATGACAAAAATAATTATCTATTTCTGAGACGTGCTGGTCAGGCTAGTAGACTGGCGGGAACGCACTAGAAGGTTTCTTGATTACTCTCTCAGTTACAAAGCTTGAACACAGAAAATATCCCTCAGATACTGTTCCGGTAAACATATGTTAAATAAACCCATAAAGTCATGTTTTACTCACCTATGATCTAAGTTATTCGCAAAATACTGCTTTTTACTTACTTAGCATTTCACTCTTCAGAACTCTCAGCATTTTCAGTATAATAATGATTAACATTCATGGGAACCCAAGCTCGTTTCACTTTTAAAATGCCAGCCACCCACCACCTTATTTTCCCTGAATGGCATTATGATTACACAATCTAATATTTAAAGGTTAATGCCAAACTGTCAAGAGATAACTGACATTCTTGGCAAAACGTGTCTATCGGGATTTTAGAAATGGCTTTTATATAGTTCTGGAATTTTCCAGAAAGAGCGCCAAGGGCTAAAAGCCTGTGCCACAGGATTGATGTTAACAGGTCAAAGACCTATGAATCAGACAGCATTGTTAGTCCTAAGTTGACTGATAATGAGCTTATAAAATAAATGAGGGTGGCCTCCCTGAGCTGTATCCATGGAAGTAAGGGAATGGGGAGAAGAATGCGCTTCTGTGCAGAAGGTAGACGCAATCTCTATGGCTTTCTCT